AATGGGTGAGTGATTCTTAAAAATGCTACAATATACAGATGGAAAGCGGTCTTCATTTAATCAAAAAACATTTACATGCGGACCTTGAGCTCTTATAGGGGTTTACGTGCAACCTGTGCTCCCCCCAGGTTACGGCCCTGCACCTTTCAGTCTTTTAATTAATCATTGGAAAAATCGGGGGGGGGAAAACAAAAAGCAACAGGCGTTAATTTCATGTCGTACCCAGTTCCCCTCAATTCGTATAAATAAACAATAAATAAACATGGGTCTTCTGTATGCGTTTTCATTAATAAAAAATTAATAGCAAAATAGATTCAGCTGTCAAACCAGTACGGAAGAGTAAAAGTTTGAATATGTTGAGTGTTTGTTTTCATTATGCGGATAAAAATTTTGGTGAGTCTAGAAGGAAGGTAAAATCTTGTAAAACTACGGGAATGTACAGATGATATTCAAGGTCATCTTCTAAAGTACCATCTTTCACGAGAAGACTTGACAGAGTATTAACTTATCTTGGCCAGGTCAGGAAAATCTTAAGTAATAATGACAATGATGTCACTGATTGGCGGATCTGTCCAAAACATAGACATGGTATTGGGCAGCAAAATAAATAAACAAAGAATGGGCTTCCTGTGGTCCACGTCCGACAGCTGAATCTATTTTGCTGTTCAGCGGCTTTCACTACTAGATTACTAGAAAAGAGTAACTCCAAGATGAACTCAGGAAAATAACGAGGCAGTTTTTTAAAACTAATATCCTCGATAAAGTTACAAGAATAATGTTTTAGTATGTTACTATATTCAAAGACTTCATTGAGGACGAAATTGAAGACCGAAAGTGGATACTTCTGGGCCTAAATGTATCAACATGACCGTTGTATCGAACTGCAGATGAGGACTCGTTTTCAAAGGCATGTTTTATCTGGATTATTTGGATTTCTTTTTGGTTGTAGGCAAAATATGAACAAATAATCTTGTGATTTGTTCATCGATTGATGTTTGTGCATCGTGCAAATAATTTACAGTTATTTATTTCGAGTGAACTTATCGTTGTATTTTATGACAGTATACAGCGTTTTACCTTACAGTTAAGGCATGTTGTGATATCAGTCTTTCGATTCCAATACTGTTTTCTAAAACCGTTTTTTACAATTTTTGTGGTTAAAATGTTTTTAAAATATATTAGATCAGTTTAAATAGTGAATTTATATACATTTAAAGATAAATCGTATTCAAAACTAATTGCACCTTTTTGACGTAATACATTAAATCTCAAAAGTACTGAAAGTTGGTCGACCTGTCCACTTCTCAAAACCTGGTGGCCGCAAAATATTATTTTAATTTCTGTAAGAACTACCTTTTATCTCTGCAGTACTCAAATATTATAGTCCTACGAAGTCTAACTTTTGAGTTTTGATTTTTTCCCCTAAGCCATATTTTAGCCAACTGGCCAAAGTCGATTATCGATGGTCGGTAAAATTAAAATATCTAGATATAAATAAGTTCAGATTGAACTTTAAGGCTACTCATCTTTGCATAAGATAGATATCTACTATAATATGGAAGGATTTAGTGTTGTGATGATTTGTTATGGATTTACGAATTTTTAAACATCGCCCAAATTTCATAAATGAGAAGTAGTCAAAAGCACTAATTTGGCCCCCAAGGGGACCACCCCTGAAACTTTGCAAAAAAGCGCCGAGACACAAAACAAAATGTGTTTTATAATTAACCTTGGAAGGGCACACTCACACACAAAGTTTGAAAGAAATCTGTTTTTTCACCCAAAATGGTTATGAGGTTCTTGCAGAGACAGCCTCTTAATAGCATTCTTGCTATAAAGGGCATTTTTTGTATTTTTGATATTAAAATATTTTAACGATTTGGACGATTTACGGCAATCTTAGAAAGAAAAGCACCGATCGAACGACAAGGAAATTTGTCGGTACAACCATAAAGTGTACAAGATAACGAAGCCGAGCTCGCATTCAATTGAAGAGCTTATGTTTATTCAAAGTTCCCAGGTTTTGTTGATTGAGCATTTGTTGAATTTGATCCCTAAAAGACCTTGAGCGCAAACGATTTATGAACAAATCACTGAATCCATCGCAAGCAAATTTCGGATCTTTTTCAGAAGAGAGCAAAAGTACTTAACGCTTTTGAAAGCCGCGCCGGTGACTGAAATATTGAATAAAATAATTTCTAATAAAATGATTTTTAAAAATGCGTTACCATACTACAATAAAACTAGTGTCTGTGACAATTAATGGTTTTGCTTCTTTTGCGCCAAAGTGTCTGTGACAATTACTAGTAACGGTCATTGTTTGTTTTGCGCCAAAGTCTGAATTTCAAGCAGTATTTTAAAGCCTGCAATAATTTCAAGCAGTAATTTCAAGCAATTTCAGTAATTTCATTATGTTTTGCAAGGATTTTATTTTCATTGCATTTGATATTCCATACGATCGATTGAATAAACATATTGCACCACTAGCTAGCAGATCATGCGAAGCAACCATAAATTTTTTGGTCCATATGCATAAAATTAAAAAAAACAAAAACAAGCTGACTGGCGATACGCTGGTCACAGGTGCCAATCACATGAATATCGCAGGACCATTAAAATAAGCTGTTGATTCGATTTTAAAGTCAATTGACAATGGAGTATGTTCTTTGAGTTTGCCCTACTGACCAAAGTATCGAAACTCTGAACATAGTTAAATATGGTTTGAAGTAAATAGGGGAAGTACCGCCTCTACAAACTAACCTTATTTAGTCTGAGGTCATTTAATATTGACTGGTCAATCCAAAGAAAAACCGACTAGTCTCCGCAGGAAATAGGTCGGGGCAAAACCTTCTTCCTCTAGATACTTTTTCCTCGGAACTAAAGTTAATCCAACATGGCAGAGGAAGAAAAACCAAAATCCAGAAGAGAATGCTTGCTTTGTTTGCTTTGGTTTTGCTGTGTTTTGCTCACTTTGGCAGCGTTTACGTTTTCGATGTATACAGTGAAAGAATTTGCAACGCTCAAAGCGCGCATTGGCGATTTGGAAAGCCAACTGAGTCTAATAAGTGGAAACAATTTGGGATATTCAGAGAAAGACTACATGGCATCTAGAAGGACTCTACCGCAATCAAATAAAGTAAGTCTAGTAAATAACAGTAACACTGCTGCCTGTCCGACATCGACTCCAGTTTTAACTGTTATGTTAATGTTGTATCAGGTCAGTGTTATAAAGTATGTCTGTGGTAGAACAAGGCTGTTTCCTCGAGCGTTCTTTTCTTTCTTAAAGTGCACATGAACCCTTCGACAATACTTTCAGTACTGRTTCTGCATAAAGTAAATAGTTGATTGGTAAAATATTTCTTGATTTGAGTGATGCGTCTYTAAGTTATGAAGGTTTATACTTCCAATATGTTAATGATGATGACGTCAGGTAAGGTATTTGAGTGTTTTTGTTGTAACTAGTAATACTAAATGCTGGCCATTTTGAAAATAAAAATTGTAAATAGCTTTCATGTAAACCATGAGTAAAATAATGATGCTTTTTAAATACTGTTTCTATGAACCAGTTCGATTTTGTATATTTGATTAAGCCTTAATAGACGTCACACTCATTAGCATATTGGAAGTATTAAACCTTCATAACTTAGAAACGCATCACTCAAATCAAGAAATATTTTACCATTCAACTATTTACTTCGTGTAGAATCAGTACTGAAAGTATTGTCGAAGGGTTCATGTGCACTTTAAAAGGCGAAAAAATATATACTGCAATAATAGTTTGAGCAAATAAAAAACGCGTTTCAGTAAAATGAAAGTGAAAATGAATTCAGTCATAAATTTAAATAGAATATTACAGTTTGTCAAAACCCTAGAAACAGCTGCACACACAGTGCAAGACAGTATGAAAGTGAAAGTCAACCAAACATACGTAAAAAATACACGAATGGGGTTCAATATTTTTTTAAAATGTATTTTGCAGCGAGTGTTAAAGTAAGTAAACAACAGCAGAACAATGCTGGCATCAAGCCATAACGCCGTGACATTAATTTGACTTTCTGATGAGGAGCAGCTAGAGGCTATTTTTATCTAATCCATAGCATTGACAATCAACATGAGGCAATAGACCGATCAGAATCCTCGAAGATGACATTGATAGACACAACAGAGAAAGATGATAAGGCTAAGACACAACAAGACTTAACTCATCGTGCGAGAAAACGAAGAGCATATTTTTCACGGGGGTAGGGAGAGGAGAAGGTTCAAAAAGGATGAAGGGAAGGGAGGGAACGTCAAGAGGATGACAGTCGTAACCCTTGTACCTATTCTTTGCAGATTTGGCACACAAGTAAGGAGGACAAGAAAAATAAAATTCATGGTACGACTAGCAACATTGTTTTCTTTGTCAGGTAACCCTTAAATGGCTTTCACAGACTCCACAGAGCCACCTTCCATGCACTGCCAGTGATTGGATAGGATGCGTTGCTGTTATCGTTATTGATCGAAGCAAAAAGCCATTGAGTGTCAAGATTCTGTAGGTTTGTCATTACTAAGATAGATGGATCGGAGTTTCATTTTTAATTCTGGTTCTTTCTAGAAATAAATAAAAGAGAAACCCAGAAGCCTTATAAGGACAGGGTAAGTATCGAATAAGAACAAGTTTAAGCAACATGATCAATGACTTATGTGACGTGTGTGCTTTATCAAACTATTGGCGAATGGGCTGCACTATCACGAAAGAAGGGGGAGGGGGTACGTTTATTAGAAATAAAAAGATAATTTAGCTTTCATTAACAATGTTATATATTTTTTTAAATACTGTTTTTTTTCTTCAGTCCAATGTTTTCATTCACTTAAGTGGAGGCCTCAAAGCGAGAAGAGGTAAAATACTCACTACAAATCGTTTACCCAGGAAAGATACGCTAAACTGCCAAGGATTAATAGTTTACTCTTATTATTAGTTTTTTAAGGTCTTTATTTGATTTCTTTTCAGATCGTAACCTGATCAAACACTTGAAAGTGTAGAATTTTGACTCCACTACGCTAGAAATACAACACACACACTTTTGTTATACATGGGCAGGTGGGTCAGCTGGGCTCAGAGTTTGACTAGTTTAATCAATTATTTTCTTTCGAAGACTTTTCAAACGACAATTTTTGTACTTTAAATGATAATACACCTATCTAGCCCTAATTAAATCCCTTTTGTGTATGGAAAACTGCAGCACACAGCGTTGCCTATAAAACTGAATCATTTAATAGATCAAGTATAGGCATTAATTAATTTAGACACAAAAAGCAGTCTACACTGCTGTATAGAAATATACTTTTTATAATTTATGTGATACTGATATAAAAATAGAAAATAAAAATGGTTTACAACATGATCAATGTAAAATAAAAGGAAAAAGCAAAGAAATAAACTAAATCTCCTACAAATTATGTCCTGCTGTATGTACTTCAACTCAAAAAACGATCACCGAAACTTGATCTCTACCAGAGGTCTCGCCCCAATCCCCTAACTTGTGCGTAAGACAATAGCAACAGGTGTCTCACAGCACTGATCTAAGACAAAACCGATGGTTCCATACTGATCGTAGTTCCCGGATATTATTTCATCTACAGCCAAATACAAGTGATATTTTACAGGTTGGACGAAAACGCCATCAAAATGCATAAGAGTTTTATAAATTCCAAACGCATCTTATCGGGTATATTTGGATACGAATGTAATCATGGTAAACAACACCCTGAGACATTCGACGCTAGACTTTACGTTAATTATCAAGGTGGGGTCTTCAAGCTACAAAATGGCGATCGAATCTGTATCCGCGGAGTCAATAGGACTCCAATTACTTTCGGAAGTTGTTGGTGGTAGCGACTCCAAATATCTTTGATTGAGTAGCTTATACTTACCAGAGTAATTCTCAAATCAAACAAGACAACTAACATAGTACTGCATGTAGTGTATATACATGCTTCAAGAGTTCAGCGCTACTGCTCTAAGCGCATGCTCAAAGGGTCAAAAAATTGGGACCATGGGTTTTAATAATTGAATTTTTAATTGAATAATTGAAGTTTAATTGTATTTTTCTTATCAAGCACAAATTTCATTAAATATTCAAAAGCAGGTAGCGTTAAGCTAATTCCAAATCAAATATACCAAAATATAGCAATTTTTACAGCCCATGGTCCCTTGACCCCTTGAGCACGCGCTTAGAGCAGTAGCACGGAACTCTTGATGTACTGTAGAGAAACTACTGGACGAGTTCGAGCATGACTGATCATTAATTATCAAGACCATGGCGTTGTCATCTGCCGAAGGCGTAGCCTGAGCCGGAAAAAACAGCCAAGGTCTTGATAATAGTCCCCTTCACAGTTCCCTGCGCCATCTTGAAAGGTAAGGTAGCCGTGCCTTTGCATCGAAGCGAGACGAACGGTGAGCTTGTAGTGATAGAGATATTTGAATAATTGTCCAAGGTGTTAAAAAAGGAGCAGGGAACTGTGAAGGGGACGATTCATAATGTTACGGGAAAGCCGAATTCAAATATTATCTTATTATACATAGCTACATAATGCTACACTACACTAGTTGGTGTCTATAGTATCCCATCATGCTACACAACACTAGTTGGTGTCTATAGTATCCCATCGTGCTACACAACACTAGTTGGTGTCCATAGTAACCCATCGTGCTACAAACACTAGTTGGTGTCTATAGTATCCCATCGTGCTACACTACACTAGTTGGTGTCTATAGTATCCCATCATGCTACACAACACTAGTTGGTGTCTATAGTATCCCATCATGCTACAAACACTAGTTGGTGTCTATAGTATCCCATCATGCTACACTACACTAGTTGGTGTCTATAGTATCCCATCGTGCTACGCAACACTAGTTGGTGCTTATAGTAACCCATCATGCTACACTACACTAGTTGGTGTCTATAGTAACCGAACATGATACACAACAATAGTTGGTGCCTATAGTATCCCATCATGCTACACAACACTCTTTGGTGCCTATAGTAACCCATCATGCTACACTACACTAGCTGGTGTCTATAGTATCCCATCATGCTACATTACACTAGTTGGTGTCTATAGTATCCCATCGTGCTATACAACACTACTTGGTGCCTATAGTAACCCATCATGCTACACTACATTAGTCGGTGTCTATAGTATCCCATCATGCTACACCACACTAGTCGGTGTCTATAGTATCCCATCATGCTACACAACACTTGTTGGTGACTATAGTATCCCATCATGCTACACAACACTACGTGGTGCCTATAGTAACCCATCATACTACACCACACTAGTCGGTGTCTATAGTATCCCATCATGCTACACAACACTAGCTGGTGCCTATAGTATCCCATCATGCTATACAACCCTAGTTGGTGCCTATAGTATCCCATCATGCTACACAACACTAGTTGGTGCCTATAGTATCCCATCATGCTACACAACACTAGTTGGTGTCTATAGTACCCCATCACGCTACACAACCCTAGTTGGTGCCTATAGTATCCCATCATGCTTGATATCTCCAGTTCTCTTCATCTAGAACTCATACTGCTCGAACCTCTACTTTGCGTGACTCCTACTTTGTGCTCATCTGTCCCCTTTGTAATTCACTTCCTATTTCCATCCGTTCTTCCCACGCCATGTCTTTATGTTTAAAACGTCATCTTAGAGATCTTTTCTTTATCCTTCTTAATAACATTTTTAATGTACATAATATCCGCACATGGTGCCGATACTGTCGCCGATCAAATTTACATTCGACATGAATGTGCTAGTCTTTATCCCTTTTTTCAACGATGCGCAATTCCTCACAAAAGCAATCCACTTATTGCTCTATAAGTTTGATCGGTAGAGAGTGGCCAATATTTAGATCTTATTAACCGAGCGGGAGGTCTGTACGGGATAATCTTGACTGAGGTCGGAATGTACAGACCGAGCGCAGCGAGGTCTGTACCCGACCGAGGTCAAGATTATCCCGTACAGACCGACCAAACTCGGTTGATAAGAGTTTTATTATATGACCACCTTTTATTAAAAAGGACAAAATGTTTTCGCCGTAAGATTAATATGCGATCGGACCGGTTAATACCGGAGAATCTAGACCAGTCCGCGATGCGTTCTATCCAATCAGATTGCTCGATTTGCTAGTGTCCAGGCTCTAAGATTCACGGTCATATAATAAAAGCCCGTATTGTTGGCTCCGAATTACCTCGCGATAGGACAATCGCCATACAAATTGAGCCGCCAACAAAGCGCAGCCTTTATATGCTGATGATATGAACCTGCTATATAGCCATAAATGTCATAAAAAGGCATTTCAGTTATGAACAAAGAACTTGCTTCCCTTATAATACCTCATTATTCTTTGAAACACTAGCTAAGACCTTTATCTTATAGCATCTCATCATGCTACGCTGACAACTTTGCTAACTTTTTGTGCTACACTGGTGTCAGTCGCAGACTAAATGGCGCACTAATTTACGTCTCCATACACACATTTTCTTTGCCACGGACAGTAGAGAAAGCCGAGTGGCAATTTCAACGATGTTTGCTCGCACCTAAATAAGCAAAATTTTGAACGAGTTGTACAACTTTGTGCCCGTATTATAGCAAGATTACTGTTTTATGGCATTGTTTCACCAGTTTAATATTTGTAATCAAAGCGTCGGTCAATTTAATCAAGTGGAACCACTTACGCTGTAAAACACGAGCTTGCTATTTCGATGAAAGAAGCTAATGACTGTGATAAAACAAAAGCAGAAAACAGGAGCAGATATGAGTAAATGACTTTTGTACCTGAAGAAATCGTCCGCTGATTTGACCACCGAACATACTTACAGTCATCGCAGAGAGAACTCACTGACGTAAGACTAGGTCCTAGTTCATCCCTACACAATTAACAATAGAACATGCAGTATCTTGCCAGTGATCACGTGATCTTCATTCTAGGAAATGGCACAAACACAGAACCAGTGCCAAAGGTTGGAAACCCCGGTTCCACACAACACAAATGGAGAAGGAGAGTCCAAACAAGGCGCCCGTCTCCTTGCCGGGATGTGCTACAGTGGTATTAGTCATCTTGGTTGTGGCCTCGTTGTCTATGTCAGCTGCGGCCATGTGGGAAATCTTTAATCTCAAACAAGAGTTACGAGATCAGGAAGTTGTTATTCGTCATTTGCAGGCTTCTCAGAAGCCAGATACTGAGTCGGGAATGGCAAAGCACCAACAAGAACAGGCAAAGCTCAAAGAAACGGCCCAAATGCTCCTGTCTAAGGTGTCCATATTTTGTAACTGAATAACCTTGTGTATTTAGTCAAGCTTATTCATGCCTAGTAATGATTATCAATCCAATAATTTGATCGTGAATAATGTACTCAGGCAATGTTTATACTGCGTGAATTTTTTTTCTTTGACGTTACCAATGTTCAAGCAACTCTAACATAACAAGACAATGAAATCGCAATGGAGACGTATTTTGAAACCAAATCTGGCTCAATATCTAATACAAAATTGATATTTGATCGAAGCTCCTAAACAAAATCATTATTTATAATTTAGAGAAAATATTTCGAGATTGCTGTCTATTTTGACGTCATTAAGGCCTAGAATCATGCACGACTCCGTGGTAATGCTACCGATTGATAAATTTAATTCATTGATCTGCTTTGCTTATGTTTTGGTCTCTAACTGCAAATAATTCAGCGTATGGCATTACTTTTATAAGGAGTGATATGTTCCAACATCAGTCATCGTCAACAAGAGCTCGCCGTTATGCGATTAATGGTTTTTAAATGTGTATTGCGTGAGTGTGAACTTGGGAATTGTTCATTGTTTTGCAACTATAAAGGCTAAGTTTGGTTTCCGGGTTTTCTCCTATTTCTTAGGTACGTCAATTGGAAATTAGAAACCGTGTGGCTCGAGCTGTTCAAAGATGTCGATGTAAACAAGGTAGGAATTAATGAAACCTCAAGGAGATACACATCGAAATGTAATAGGTCAATAAGGTTTTTGTATCGTTCTGACGTGCAATGTAGTCTGCAAGCCTGTCTGTAAGTCTCAATATTGGTTGAATTTTCTATCAATGGCTTCAAATATCTTACCCAACGAGGGCAGAAAACGAAAATGCACAAAATGGTAACGATAATTACAAGTAAATTTTGTCAGTCAAGAAAAGGACCAGAAAGAAATAGAAGATGGTTATTATTAATGAATGAGGCATCAAACGAGTTCAATCGTATCGACAAGACACAAGAATATATAAAAATACCGTTCCAGGAAAGAAGCAGTACAATTGTTACTCACAGGCATTTCAATGGTTTATATAACACGAATCAAATTTAGCATTCGCCAAATATTCACCTGGCCTCTCGAGAGTGTGTTTTTGCTTTGTACATTGCAAAAGTGTTTTTTTCAGAAGACTATTCTTTTACGTTTTGGTTTTATCTCAGTAGTGTTGTTTAGTAAAGCGTGACCTATGAACAAAGTCCGACAATTTATCATACTATATTGATATCCTGGATTATTCATAGCAATGTCACGCAAGTGTGTAAATACCTTGGAAAGTCAATGTTGTTTTGTCTGGTCTCAACAAAACAGTTTTTTTGACTAGATACGCAGATATACTTTAACAGAAGTCGGTGTCAAATAAGAAAGGCGCCGTGCACTTGCAATCCCTCTAAGAGCATTTTTTCCAATGTCTAATTAACAATTGATGTTTTGCCAACATTTACCACTAACGACTGGGCATAGAGGGATGCATTCTTTTAATGTCTACAAGTGCACCGTATCCGACAATGACTAGCATTGCTATACTATATTATATTTGCAAATGTTTTAAATAAATAAATAAATTATGGGATTAACAGTGGATTCCACAGGGTGGCTCCTCTTCCTCTGGTTTTTAATTTCACGGACATCGCAATACCCAAGCCAATAAAAACGAATGAACGAAATTTCCATTCATTTCTACTCTATTTGTTACAGGTCCCCCAGGTCCGAGAGGTCCTAGAGGGCCAAGGGGTAAGTAAAGATAGGCATGTTATGAAAGTGTTTATGATGAACGCTTCTACCAATGATGGGTTCTAATCCAGAGGGGAGTTCTCCTTTGGATATCAGAAAAGAATGTTGAATGCAGAATTCAAAGATAGGCAGGAATTTTTACTGGTCTTTAAAAGAGATTGAGAATAGTGCTTCAGATGGATCCACGCATGGACAACCAAAGAAGACCCTTAAAGGAAACCAAGAGGAACCAAGAGATGCAACTCTACCTACATGTGTGAGGAAATACGCGAATGGATCCGTGTTGAAATTGGTGCCCCCATCGATAAAATTAAAACCTTACTTATGTTAAGGATATTTCTTGGTTTTAACCAGTAAATAGACTAATGTAATCTCTCTCATACTTAACACATGCATATTAGCTAATTGCTAATTTAGACCGAAATAAATACAATAGAATAGCTCAGACGTAAATGTACCGTACGGAAAGAACAATTCTGGCACAATGTATCAGCTAAAAGGTCTGTGTTTATTTCTCAGGTAAGAGGAGAAAAAGAGGCCGCAAAGGTAACTGACCAACTAATGCTACTCTAAGCCGATATATAACACCAGCAGTATAACTAGGCTTCACAGAAAGAGAAAAAAAATTCTGTTAATTAGGGCCGGGGAAATCATAACGTAACCATGTTTGCCTTAGAGTGGGGCGCTTTCGCTTTGCCGGCGTATAACAAGAGGGGCAAAAAAAGCTCTGGAGAGAATTAATTCTTTGATAAATCCAATAATATTAGCCAAGAAATTTAAGTAATTCACTTCCTTTTTCAAAAACCATGTAGGTCCAAAAGGCAATCCGGGTCCAAAAGGAGAGCCAGGACTACCGGGGCCACCGGGACCCCGAGGAAGATGCAGACCAAGAAGAGGTGGAAAATGTAAACAAGGCGAGTTCAAGATCGAGCTACTTTTTTCCAGAAAGTCTAATTCGGAATATTATGATGACATTAATGCCCTTATTTTCTTTTTTAGGCCTAACCGCCAGAAGTACGACGATGGTAAGCAGCTTATCCAAACAATAAGAAATTAAACTTCGAAAACATATCTCCTACAGTTCATATCAAGGGCGGATCCAGGGGGAGGGTCGGGGGGGTCGCGACCCCCCTGTCATTCCTGAGGTCAAATGGGCTTCCTGTGGTAAAAATGCGACTGGGATTCCTTTTCCCACAAAATTTACCCCTGAGACCCCCCCTTCAAAAAACCCTGGATCCGCCCTTGCATATGCCACTGAAATTCACATAAAATACCTATGTTTACTGCCTACGAGGTCCGTACGTATCGTAAGTTATGAACCGCAAATTGACGAACCATATTGCTTGAAATTACCGAGTCATATATATAATAGAAGTAAAGGATTCGTTTTATGGAAACAGAATAGCTTTTTCCTGGTCCAGAAGCGGCATTCCCGCAATTTAATTTTTTGGAGAATTGCTTGATAGTTTGGCCACATCTTTTGGTAAGATTATCTTTACAACTAGTTAAATAAGCGTATATTGGATCTTTCCATGATTTATAGTTTACCGAATCAGCGCACATTGAAGGTCATGGCGGAGAGATACATCCCCAGACAGGTAGTGAAAAATGTTAGTACAATTCGAGTTCATATATGGCGCCGTGTAGACTTGATGTCCGAGCTCTGTGCTTTTGTCATACATTCTTTTGTTGAGAAACTCATTTTGTACAGCATTGTTGGGCTGGATTTGGAAAAGCGAGACAGGGGAGCTTTTCACAATCTTTTTGCTATCCCGCAATCATATGTCTTTTTCCTGTTTCTTTAAAATCTTTGGAAAGCTTTGTAAATAGCAGAGCGAACATCGAAATTAACGAAACATTTTTTCTAGATGACATGCCATAGTCTTTTCTCGGAGTAACTCAACATTTTTGTGAATCCGCAAGATTGAAATTTTGAGAGAAAAAGCGAACGAAATGTTTCTTTTGCAAACAGCACCAAACTCGGATACCAAGTGTAGACAGAGCCCATACCATGAAAATTAGTTTATTAAAAAATATTGCATGTACCTTCAGTTATTCATCAGTGTGCAGAAGCCGTTTCTTTGGTAAAATAAAGTTCTTTTTGGTTTACTTTTTTTTAAATTTAAAATTCAGAAAACAAGAAGAAAGTTGTAACGCGTGCGCGCAGGAAAAGGCGGGAAAATGACGCGGACGCGTCATTGGCGGGAAAACGTTTTGGCGGGAGAAAGAATAAACCATTAAGTCATTTTACACATTTTTTCGTATATTTTCATTATTCTCTTTTGTCTAATTTTTGCATTTATTTATTTATCATTTTCTTTAGTTCATCGTATAACAAACTGGAGAAAAGGCCACATCAATGGTAAAATGCGTTTCGTTGATCAAGGCATTCTTATCATCGGGGTTTCTGGCTACTACTACGTCTATTCACAGATTTTTTACTACTCTGGCGATGCTTTTTACATGGCTCACTACCTCTATAAAAACGAAGAACCGTTAATGCGAAGTCTTTCCAGTGTGGCAGGGCCAAGACGAAAGTACAACACTAATTATAATGGCGGTGTGTTTTTTCTGCAAGCCGGAGATAGAATCACTGTTCGCGTTCCTTTTAACAAAATCCTCTACATGAACCGCGAAACCAGTTATTTTGGAGCCTTTTTGATATTTTCATCAAGCAATTTTACAGTTGAGGCTTCTCAACAGAGCAGAAGCTCAACACTCTCAACAATTCAGCCTCAGTAAATTATTTAGAAATAGCTGCAACGGATGTATGTACGGTTGGTAATGCGGTGCCGGAGAAGAGTGCTCGCCTCTCACCAAGGCGACCTGGCTTCGATTCCTGGACTCGGCAAAGTATGTGAGTAGGGCTGCTCTTTTTGGGTTCTCCAGTTTTTCCTCCTTCCTCAAAAATCAACTTCTAAATTGCAATTGGAATCTAGTGGAACGAGACTTTTTTGTACACTGCGAGCAGTCCCACTTTTCACTCCAGACTTAGTAAAGACGAGTGTTTCAGTGCTGTTGACTCACACAGACACTGTAGCTGAAAGTGGACCACCCGCAGTCTAGGAACAAGAGCCACTCTGTGGATCCACTGTTTACTCCCTTTTATTCTTACTTTTATTTTTTGAAAGGTTGCTTTTTGATCCATGCACAGCCAGTTCATTGCTACATTCAGGGGCATAAATCCAGGATTTTAAAATTGGGGTTGAATATTGTCTTTTATTCCTTATATGGCAAAGAATGCACATACTGATACCACTAGTAGCTCAACAAAGGCAAAAAAGGTGAAAATATGGTGTTTCGAATTGACGGTGATTAAATTTGTGAGATTCAAGTACTGAACCAAATGAAAGTCTATCGAGATAAAATGTTTTCAATGATAAAAACATTTTTTATCATAGAAAAGGGAGAGGGAGTGGCTAGTCAACCACTCTCATCACCCCTCTTACCACTACTGACATTCAATGAATTCTCAAATTTATGGGAAGTAATCTTTCTCCATGGGGAAAAATAACCAATTTATTCACCTTATAAAGTGGAATGAGAGATAAGAGATTAACCCTATTGAGAATATCTTTTTAAATCGAATAAGGATTTAGAAGTTGGTTTTTGCAGAGGAAGGAAAAAACTGGAGAACTTGGAGAAAACCCTTTGAAAGATTTGCTGAGAATTACTTCTTTCCCTATCAAAGTTTTTATATTTCATATGCTATGCAACAACAAGTGGGTTTTAAAATGAATAGAAAATGGTAATTATTTTCATCAGGCTAATTACAGCAAGATAGTACGATATGGCAAGTAGTAGAGCAAAGAATACCATCATAATAAATGAATGAAAATTAACTGGCCTTAAAATAATGAGCTTAGAATACCAAATACTGCTTGGGCTATTTATAATAAGTATCTCATCTTAAAAGTTTCAACTTAGAATTTCTAATTAAAAAATTATAAACACGCTATTTTTGAGATTTAATGAAGTTATAAGTAAAAATGATGGAGTTTCTTATTCTTCTTGATTCAAACTATAAATAGGTCACATAACATTAGATTATGACCTCTCAGCAAGATCTTAATTACCAATTCCACTATGGCAAAACTTTGTGCTATGCCTTTCTAAATCATTTATATATATTAATACATGCCTATTTTTTGATACATACATAACACTATAAATCAAGAAACATATTCAAGAAAGTATCAATATGTATATATATACATATAGCTATATTGTCCAGGGGGGACTTAGGGGTGAAAGTATTAGGTATGCTTTGTCATCTCATAGGAATAAAAATTAGCAGTTTGGGTATCATTTAGGGGTGTGAAAAATAAATTTAGAATTTCAGCATTTCTTGGTATCTTTTAAAGGAAAAGCCTGTGGTTTTGATTTTTTTATTTTAGAAACCAAGTTTTTTATGGTAGAAAATTTTTGGTGTACATCTTTGAACTAAGCCATAGTTTAAATTTTACCACTGTTTTATGATTATTGTATGATATCTCTTAGGTGTTCAAAATGTCCAGCCATAACCTTTTTAAACACTTTCAATACTTTAGGAGTATTCTTGAAAATTTCTGATAAGCATACTCAATACTTTTCCTTGGATCCCTCCCCCCAGGTATTCTTTATATTGTAATCATTAGAATATTGGGTGATCATTAGGATGCCATTACAAACTACTATGTTCTACATGCATACAGTTTTTAGAGACACATGTACAGATTAGCTAGAGCTTAGTTATTAGCAGGGATTATTTCTATGGGAGATCAACTTGTGAAAAAGTGCAAACATTATTAAAATGTACATAATTTTATACATTGTACATAAAAATATAACTATGTAAATATCCTTGCAATCATAAAATATTAATTAAATAAATAAATGCTTTTCAAAAATATCCTTTTCTTATTTGTAAATTTAATTATTGCAAAACTTTTTCAGACTTTTGTTTTAGATGATAAAAAAAATTGTGATATTGTTTGTTTTTCAGAGTTCTTTATGTAAAACAGTCAAATCTACAATCATGTAATGCAAACTTCCTGTTTGTTAGGAAATTGCTTTCTGGGTGTGGCTTAATTAGCATAAAGGGTTATTGAAGAAGCTAGAATTTCATTTGTTTGATAGGGGAGGGAGAGGAAAGGATATATAGAATATATTGTTTTTCTTAGAGTTTTCTAACAACAATTCCTGCAAGGGTTTGTCTCCTTTTTTTATAGCCCATGATGCACTACCATGCTAGAAAGTCTAAATCTGGTGGACCTTTTACTAGTTGTTCTCAAATGATGTTTTGACTCCTTTTAAAATTTACTGTATATCCCCTAACCTCCCCCCTACTAGACAAATAGTGAACACTCCCATATTTCGAAAATAAAGCCAAATGTTTATGGAATATAAATCAAAATTATATCTTTAAATGTCTTAGAACCAATGTACACAGCAAGTACCAGAAATTTAGAATACATTTTACTAGAAAGCTTACAAAATCAAAGGCTTAAATAAATACTAAATAAAACTTTCAAGCTCAAAGTATTTCCATAAGAATAATCTATCCGATTTACTTCGTAAAATTATACTCAATTTCCAGAATTTCCTACAGGAGAATTAAATCAAATATAAGCTTAATAAGCTTAAATCTTGAGCACATGTTATGTATACAATGTCTGTCTTGAGCAGCATGGTTTATAGTGGTGTTCAATGAACTTATCCGTTAAAAATTTCCCTAACTCAAACGAGGAAATATAGAAGAAATATCAAGTAGAAATATTAAGAAACTTTGTTTTACCCATGGAAAGCCGAACATAAGCGAACGAAGTAAGGATTCGTGCATGTCTTTGAAAAGAACGCATGCAGTACGAAAAAGCAAGCTTGCATATTTTGATTTATGCAGCTGATATTGCCTCACGAATTTAAATTAAAAACAAAAAACACTTACACTTACCATTCCGGGGACTTTTTCCATTGTTAAGCAATTTTTGAGGATTTAGATAACCTACGAAAGTCCCAAAACTGAAAGAAACCCTTTCAGAACATAAAGTAATGTCTCTCTACGCCGCAGGAATACGTGTCGTTGGAGGGGAAAACCCCTTCGTGTGCTTGGTCATGTGATGACCCCTCTATTGTATTCAAATCAGCCGAAACAGGAACATTTCCTGTGTTGTAAATTCTTTGTAGAAGATGTCAGCATGTAATTAGACTTAGTTTTCTTCCTATTATGGTCTTTGAAATGCAAACCAGCAAGTTTACAAACAAATACTCAGGTTGGAGGGCGACTGAAATTTTCCACCACAGGAAGCCCACAAATACGAGAATTTTGTATATTGAAAATGAAAATAAGAACATTAACTAGTTTATAACTTATAACACTACTACCCATCATTTAGTCATTTCCATTGCATAGGAAACAATATGTGGGACTTACTTAAGCCGGTAAAACCGGTCTTGAATACCCTAACCTCACAGAAGATTGCGTGATAAATAACTGACTTCCCTTTTATAACCAACCACCAACCTACTGAACAATGTACGGTAATTCTGATTTGTATATGCGGATTGAAGGATTTATGTAATAGGGCATGGAGAAAAGGGGGTGGGTGGGAAATGAAAACCCTAAAAACCCTCCTCGCCCCGGTCCCACCTAGCCGAGTCCCCGCTACGGGTTATGAGCCAGTTAGTAGTGACCTCCTATCAGCTTCGACTGGACACCCGGAAACATATTTTGAAAGCATTATGTGTCCTAGATAATATGGTCGCATACTACTACAATGTTAAAAATCGTGCTCGCATCGATGACATGAAAACCGGCGAAAAAGAGATATTCATAATAGTCTTAAAAGTCTCCCAAATTATGGCCATGGGGTCGTAGACCCGAGTAAAGGCTTCCGAATTCAAGTAGAATGGAGGTAGTAAAGAGTGATATTACAGCTTATGGAACACCGGAACCACTCTTGCACTATCTCATTGAGGTCGGAAAAAGATCTACGAAAAACTCCGGAAGAACTCGAGAAGTGAGTAATAGATCCTTGCTCGATCAATGTTGGAATATCCTGAAGTTCTTTCGATAAAATTGGGATATTTAGAAATTTCATTTCCGTTTTCCTTTTGCCCTTAATGATCTACTTAATACTATACATGCTATCTATATATTTGAAAGCGTATGGAGTAAGGAGATGCTAAGATTTGTTTGATAGAGGGCCGGAAAAATCATCATTTAATAGGCATCGTTTCTGGATAAAGGGCTGGAAGGGTTTACTTTAAATTAGCCTCCACTTTGTCGCTACTTTCTCCCTTGTGGGGAGGGAAAAGGGGCCTTTACAAAGAACGTCTGCAAAGGAGGCTAGGAGGTTTAGTGAGGTCATACGGCGTATCTTTCAACTACTTTCAAAATACCACCCCTATTTAGTTAATTTAATATGACGCCATTAAAATTTTTGTTCTAGGAAAAACCTGATGAGATAGGTTTTGGTCATTTCCCCTCTAAATTGTGAACTCGTCAAAACACAGTTATTATCCCTACTCATATAATTATGAGACCAAGAAAAATAATTTGAATATAAAAATAATGAATTAATATATTAATTCTTTATCTAAATCTACATTTATTTTGTCAGCAAAACTATAATAAAAAGTTATCAAGCTAATTAATAATTAATTCATTAAATGTTAATTAAATAACCAAAATTGATAAATTCAGTAATGATTGATTAATTATTATTGGTTATTTAATTAATATTCAAATATTTCGAGTAGTCACTAAGCTATTAAGCTGCTTATATATTTTCATTTTCGATTTGAAGATCCTGCTACAGTAAAAATCTATCCATCATATTTTTATTCGTACGATCAGAAGTATCAAACTTGCTTTCATAATATTATCTTCAAAAAAGTACTTTAATCCAAACAAGCTTATAACCTTTGCATTGTCAATGAAATCCGTAGAAATCACATATCGGTGAACGTTTTAATTTTTTTTTCCGTTGACCTTGATTTAAGCTACCTACAAGGTCATTTTATTGTATTCCATTGATGTCTGATGAACTCACGAAAAAACCTGTGGGCAAATAATGATCATAGCAAGAAATACTTTTATTTTCCGAATTAATGGTCCATGAAAAAATCAATGATGATTTTCAAAAACTGTGTGCGTAGCAATAATCAAATCTACCCAATCAGCAATTATGTCCAAAACATAAATAAAAACACCCTTTCTTATCAACTTATCATTCCATCTCATGTTGCTTACCGTTGACGACGGATCATTATTATCTCAGTGTGAGCTAACGTTGATGAGACTGATCGATCGCAGAGGTGGTAAAGCCAAAATAACTAACCTATAATTATTAACTGTGTGTGTCACGCTGCATGCTCCACTGTCTTAAGCATGGGCCAAAACACTGAGGATAAACTAGAAACGAGTCAAAGAAATTGCTGTTTCTGCGGCACAACGACTCGAAAAATCTACATACTGATCTTCCTGATAGCAATACTTAATATCGCTATCTGGGGAAGTCTTGTCGCAGCACATCTACACCAAAGAAACGAGCTTCGTGAATTAAGAAAATCTTCTACCATAGCCATAGCTGAATGCAGGCGACATGTGGCTTCAATAAACCCGAAACTTCACCAAGATCGCATTAATAATATGTCGATTCAGCGAAATATTATCCGCAAATCCTCAAGAAATATCGAGGTTGGTTTGTATTTAAAAACCCTGGTCTAACAGGTCTTGGATAACTATAGATGCGAGAGAGTATTGCATTTCAGGAATGAAGCCTTCATTTCCGGAAGATTCCCGAATAATTCTTGTTTACGACCTTTTTACTAAAACGTTCTTTAACATTTCTTTTCAGCGACTCAAAGAAACTAAAAATGTCTCCCCTCGACAAGCAAAACTCAAGGTGCCAACAAGTAAGTAAAAAGTACTTTTTGGTGTACGTTGTAAAACAAGTTTAAGTAGAAGATTTTTCGTCTTTTATTATCATAACTTGTGACCTTTGAGTATATTCGTGCTTCTAGTGTTTATGGCGAGTGGGCCAATGATGCTGAAGTGAATCTCTTGTTTTTAACAACAAAAAGGTGCTAAATACAGTTAAGCGTGTTAATTGAATTAATGAGCCAAAAGTGTTTGGTGTTAAATTGTTTTGAAATGCTTTTTTCCCTTGCGACAAGGCTCGAAAGGCACTTCCTTGTTTCGCCATTTCATCACGTGCATTATAATAGCTATCATGTCGCAAATCCTTTCATGGTGTTCTAAAAATGAACTCACACAAGTAAAAATTCCAAAACTCTACATTAAAATATAATTTATAGATCTTGTAAGTATTTTTGGCTCTAGCTTTTGAAATTCCTTTGCTGTTTTGAAAGACCCCCATCAAGTTTTCTCATAATAAGTTTTTTTTTCTTAAGAGACCAGTTGTTGCTCTTCTTTTTACAGTTATTCAACTTTGAAAAGCGACAAAACAAACAAGGCACGCGTTAAACTTTTTTCCACTTTAATGTTATCACCGAGTTATATCACCGAGACAGATGGCTGTCGGCTGTCTGTAATGTTATTGTCGAGCCCTGCACCGTTTTCTTTAAAGGTGTCATTTTTGGCCATTGTAGAACGAAATAATATCTTTGGAATCTAATCAAGTCCCTTCATTGCCTTAGGTTGTCCTTTCCAGAAACGAAGAAGGCTTTGCTCATTAATTGCGAGAGAAGGTATAAATATCATAGGTTTCTCAAATCTAGAGCTATAGATCCACCATCAACCCAGCGTTTCATCAAATCCTATCTTTTAGATCGTACGTGCATTGTCGACTAATAGAAAACATCTTCCATCAACTGCACATACTTACGCTCTAATTACGATACAAATAATCTTCAAAGTTACTTATATCTAAGAAGATAACTGCACTAAAGCAATTTCTATGAAGATTCTTCATAAACTACTTCCTGATCATCACGAATTAATTGATGCTAAGATTAATCACAAAATAATATCATTAAACAAAATTATTAAAATAAAGGTATGTATAGATGAAATGTGTGCGTGTGTTTTACTGGTGAATTGAAAATTAACTCCTCAGTTATAAATGGTGTTTTTCTCAGTAAAAACCCATGTAAACCACATAGGAAGTCAAAGAATTCATCAAATTGATTACTCCACAATATTTGGACTGTTGTTCTTCCTTCTTTTCTTGGCACGTCTTCAAATTTGATATAAACATGTGTCTTTTTCTTTTGTAGTGTCCAGACATGTACAGTTAAACTTGACTGAATTACGAAAGGAAGTCAATGAATTACGAATGAAAATCAATAATGTGCAGCAAGGTAATATTTGATATGAGAAACCACTGACTGAGTGAAGCAATTTTCTGKTTTTTTTATGCGTGTGTTGTGTTTTATTATAACTTATTTATTCACCTGGAAGTTTTATTCGGATGGTGCTTCGTCGAACTGATTTGAATTTTTAGTCAGATTACCATGATAAAAGTATAAGTCATCGGAAAGCAGCTTTGAGGTATGGTGCGTTCTGTGGGTTTGTAAACTGGTCATTCGTGTAAAATAAAAGTCGCGATCTATCGATGTACTGTACTAAAGTGAGTGGATTCACTCCGCCAATATTAATGCAGACAGCTAGTCGAGGTACATCAATCACTGATTTTTTGAAGCAGCCGTATGTAAACGAGTGGTTAGTGTGCAAAAACGCTACGAAACATATACCAAATGGAAGTTGCAACAAAAAAAAAGTGCAATGTTACGTTCGGAAGAAGTGTGAGCCTGACATTTCTAGGCTCGTGAAGTATAATTGGCAATAATATATATATATATGATTGCTGTCATAGTAAGTTTGATCAGGGTAATTTCCCTCTAGTTAGGTTATATGCTTTCCTTGCATCTTTATAGTTACATAAAAATAGGGACTTTTTTGCACGCCTATCTGGAATCTGCCCTTGACTACTAGTAGAGCCACATCCCACTGAAAACCGAGCTATGCTTATTGATTCAAGGTTTATCCCCACTCCATCGTTAAATACACTGGTACGTGCCTAATTCTAAGTGGGCTCAACAATAGACCCAATGTTCGCATAAATCTTAAGCATAAAAGCTCTATCAAAACTCTAGAAAAAGTGTTTTTGTTTCTCTATAGCTTCTTTTATGCAAATATCCTGTCGATGAAGTACTAAGGGCATGAACGCTTGACGTATTGACGTCATAAGGAAGTTAATGAAAAGGGAAACAGGAAAATCAAAAGAAAATTTAATACCAAAAATAACTCATGTGAATTTTCATTACATGCCTATATATATTAAACAGGGCTTCAAGACTCATCCTACGAAAATATAAGGCTAAATCTATAGGGTCTTTTTTTAAGATATACAGGGCCAATATAGGAATTATGGGCGAAAAATATAGGGAATTTTAGGGATTATTAAAGGCATTTACAATAGATATACAGCAAATATATATTTTTCATGTACTTTGTATGCATCTTTTGATGCATAAAGAAGCCCTTTAGTGATCTGAACATTCTGCGGTGCTCCACACACCTTCACATAATCTTTGAGGCAGGGTACAGACCATTTATTGTCAAGTCACCGAGAGACGCCCTGTCTAGAGACTGTCCTCTTGTTTGCAGAAAGACTACGTTCTACATCTGCATTGCCATTAGCTAAAGATAGAAGACTTTTGAAGACCGGGGTACTTGAATTCACCCTGTTGAGATTTCTCTTTGAAAATTACTTTCTCAATAATGGTCAAGGCTTTTGTCTGTGTCAACAACTCCTGCCTGGTATACCTTCCACTCATCTGTAAACAAAGCAACTTCCTCTTCTGATATTGTTGGGATCATGACTGCTAGACTACGAATAGCTTGTACACCATACTGGACTTTTTATGAGAAGTGGATTTAGGAAAGAGACATCTCTTAAAAGCTTGTTATCTATTGGTAGATGCCCAATCTGATACTTTGTGGTGTCCACACAGAACTGTTTCATACCTAGAAGAGCTATCTTCTGTTGAACAGTGGGCACTAGCTTAGACAGGACTTAGCGAGTTTTCTCTCCCACTTCCATCTGTGAAATGAACAGTTGGTTGTCTACTTTAGCATATTCTACATTCAGTAGGAGCTTAGTACCCTCTTTGTCTTTAAGGGCTTGGATCTAGAGAAGGCGACCCATAATGGACTTCATATGCTCACACATTTGTATCACGCAATGGTGAATCAATGGACCTTCACTGCCAATTGAGCTAGGAAGGACTTGTCTTGCAACTTTCTACATATACGTACCACTCATAATTTTCCAAGGTCTTGAAAGTCTTCTCTTGTGTAGCTAGCATGGGCAATTCTTCATGCAAGAAAGTATTTCTTGCTTGCTTTCCATTTCTCGACGATTCTGCAGTCTAATGCAGGAGTGAGTGTAAGTCATTAAGTCCCAGCGGTTAATTCAACACTTGGATCTAATCTTCTCCAGTGAGCTCTTTAACTATAATAGCAAATATCTGTGGCTAGTTCCTCAGATGCCTCCTCATATGCATCAATGCCTGCACTGAAAGCATGGTGCACAACATGAATTTTGCAAGGTATAAATGGCATACGTCCAGGGAGTCCTTCATCTAATGGTACATTATGGGATTGCACTCCAAATGGTTTCGTTGACATTTAGTCCATCTGATGACAAACGTATCAATAAGAGAGATAGCTGGGCCTGTTTCCTGAATTCTGCCCACTATTTTCTTTGCAACATCATGACTTTTGGCATGATCCCGATTTTCTCTTCTGACCATTAGCGTACTAGATATGTCACACTGCTTGCGGCCTTGGAAATTCCGTTCCGTCATCTTGGATGCTGTACCCAAAATCTGACTGTGAAATATATATCCTGGCACAGTTTTTTTTCTAAAGTACGGGTCTAATCCATCAGATAACATGTAAGACACTTTTGTTTTACTCATTGTACAGTTATCAGACACATCTCCTGGGAAAATATTCTGGAACAATTGCTGTGTACTCTCAAAAATATTATAAGACATTTAAGAACTATATAGGGAAATATAGGGGAACTTAAAAAATACAGGAAATATAGGAAATATAGGGACACTTGAAGCCCTGATTAAACTGTAAATGGGAAGATGTCCTTGCCGCTGGAGATCCTGTTTTTCACTTTTCGAGTTCCAAATATATTACCGCTGTTCGTTTCCTCGATTACAGACTCATTTACTCAGGCTTAACTTCGTATTAGTGTCTAATATAAATATTCACAAATACCAAAACGCTAAAAGAGTAAAGAATGCACAACTTCAACAATACAAAAACTTTGAAATTCCACCGACCTTCACTGGAATACGTGAATATTCTGCATTGAGACTAACCCTTTGCAACAGAGAACTCGAAACTGGAGTATTGCTACGAATAAAACTCTCCTGAGCACACCATGCCTTATCTGCGGGTTTATAGCTTCATTGCGCATGTTATTTTTTACTAGTCTGGCATAACTTGGTGTAAAGATCGAATGGTAATTTTTTGTTTGGCTTCTATTTGTGTAATTGCAGACAGATACCGAGAAGCTTATGTAATCCTCATTGGTAAAAACCATCAAAATCGATTAACGAAGATGAACGTAAAAGGTACGGCACGGTCAGTAAGGGGTGAAGTCTAAACACTGGCCCAAAATCGAAAATAATTTTTTTTTAGGTGGAGAGTCCTGCTAAAGTCCCCCCCCCCCCCCCCCCCCCCCCCCCCCCCCACAATTTCACCACTTTCCTAAGAAACCTGTTAAAATGCATTATTTCTGTGGTTTGACTTTTAGATTTGAAGATATTTGAAGACCGTCATCCCAGAATTATTTCCTTTTCTGGCCTAGGGTTGGTCGGTACCGGGTAACCCCACCCCTCCCCTTCTAAATCGGTACCCTTGATTTCACGGGTTAAGTAAGATAACTCGATTGCGTGAACTTTTTTGGCAAGCTTATTGGCAAGCTCTCACTTTGTGAAAAGATGGATGACTGTGTGTGAAGGGGCGAGGCAGGTTTTTTCACCCGTTCAAGGCTGTAACAGAGGTTTTGCACCATCACGTGAAGGCAGCTATGTTAGATGGCAGGAACAATACAATCGTTTTACATAAGGAAGAATTCAATTCCCGAGAGCAAAGGGATTTTATTGTTCTGCCATCTAACCACAGGCAGTCCAAGCTGGATTATGGCGCCCGGCACGTGATGGTGCAAAATTTAAGATTTTTTAAGACTATAAGATTTACTGCCGGCATTCATATTTCGAAGCTTTTACCTTTTATTTGCAACTATCTTTCAGATATGTACAACATAAGATGGGATCGGTCAATCCTGCGTAAATGTCGCACGCGGAGTTCACAAATGGATGCCACAACCCTAGAACAATGCCGGATAACCCGCTATTCAGGTGTAAACTTCCATTATTCCGACAAGAGGATTATTTCCGCGGTCAAAGTAACAGTGCCAGGCATATACTTGTTGTACTGTCAGCTCACGTTTACTATCAATAACACCAGTTACAGCAACAATATAGCACATTTAATATCTAAAGTCAGTATCTTGATGACCAAAGGTACCAGCGAACATGTTGAACTTATCTCCCAGATTCCAGTGGTGACCAGGCAAGGAAATGATCCATTAATCACCGTCTCAGTGTTCACGCAAGCGTATTTGTACTCAAGGAGTACAATCAGGGTGACAATTTCGTTAAAAAATGGGAGTAAACTTCCATTGGATGGTAACATGGTGTTGGAATTATACCAAAGGAACCACGGAACGTTCAACGTGTTTGGCATGCATCTGCTGAAAAAGACCGATGACCGTGGACCACCCTAAAAAGACTCAAGACCAAACTTGTTGAAACGCGGTGTGTCGTTCGTCCGTTCCTTTACTTAGTGGAATGCGCCACTTTTCCGTGGTGTTGATCGAACTAAAGACAAAATAGACAAGGAATCTAAAACATAAGTTCACTGAAAAAGCGGGCGACAAATAACAATTGTTAACAAGAGAGCAAGCTTGTTAGAAACAGAAAAATTGAGCATCTTGTTTTCCAAGAAAACAGAATAAAATCGATGAAGAATTTTATCCAAGAAACCACGAGGCGTGTACATGCAGAATCACTCAATGACGCTGCTATATTTTATCGCCAGAGACGAGATACGAAACGTTGATCATGAGAGTCTGTACAGCATTCAGTTTTGACAACAGGCGTTCGTGCATGTGACAAGAATAACTACATATACTTATTTCAATAAAATTAGTCACCAAAAACCTAGAAAGTTGTGATCGCTGAGAATCATGGGAAATATTTTATATCCAGCAAGTAAAGCTTTTGACACAAACTGCAGCAGTTGAAGATGCTCAGAGGTGAGACTGTAACTGGTAGAAGATCTCAAGTCCATGAACAGTTATCAAGCGGTTAAAACATGTAAAATGTATATACCCATAATCCTTGTCGGTCTCAGCTTTGTAGCTTTTCTGGTGACTAACTTCATTGAAATAAGTGTATGTGTATAAAAGGAAAGACACGACAAAGTGAATTGGATACGATTTCCACTTTTATTTAAATCTATGCCAAGTAATTATAATGTAAACGATTAATAGTTAGATCTTAAGTTGTCCATAATAAGAGGAAACCAAGGGCGGATCCAGCCAAAATTTTAGGGGGGAGCTAATTGAGTTTAGAGGGGGGGCTAATTGATTTTCTTCCCAAAACAATATAAAAAAGCATCGTTTTTTTCTGCTGAAGGGGGGGAGGCTTCAGCCCCCTTTGTTCCCCCTGGATCCGCCCTTGGAAACACTAGAAAGTGTTTTCTTTCAAATGGCTTCTTTTTTAAGGAATGTGATTGGCTGATGTACATTTGCCTGTTATCGATTGGTTCATCATGTTTAAACATGTCATTTAAATTGCTTTATTAAGGACTGTGGTTGGCTGATGTACATTTGCCTGATTCTGATTGGTTCATCAGAATTCAGTTCCTTACTATATCCCCTAAAGTAATAACATTAAAATAATGTGAACCCCCTCTCCAAAACAAAATGCAAGAGTTTTTTTTATTGTTGAGAGTTTGGTCACATATCGGTGGTGGTATATGTGTAATAAATTACAATTAAAATGAAAAACTGATGTTAAAAACATAAAACTTCCATAAAAATATCACGATCAATCACTCATCTCGATAGTTATTGTAGTGGTAAATCAAATAAAAATTCATAACTATGTACTATAACTACTTCAGCTATACATTTACCTTAATCTTAAAGTAAAAATATCTCGATTAAATCTTTTACGATATTGAACTAAACATTATCCAAAGTCACTAAGCTGAACATTCATACAGCCAGAACCACCATACAGGTATTTTAAGAAATTGCCCATACTGCATTTCCGGCTTGTATGCAAAATGTAACATGCAACAAAATYTTTGCCAACCTACTTTCAAATAGCTGTGTACCAAATGTCTGTATTAGGCAGCATTGTAAGATTTAAAAAAATCGTTGACATTAAAATAAACACAATTCTGAGTTTTGACTTTTGATTGGGAATTTTTTTTTTTTTTTTTTGGAAATTGTAGAAACAGAAGGATGGAAAATTACAGTCAAACTAAGGAAAACCGCGAACACCCAATATAATTCTGTGTCCTAATCAAACACATGTCCCACATGTGAGAATGATGTGATCAAAGGACAACAATATTTCTTCAGCCCACTTCTAATACAGTTTCTGGTCATGACAAATGCAATCAGAGACCACAGACCATTGAGGGGAAGGGGTGGGAACTGTTATGCCAATAGTCTTCAGTTCCCTGCACCATCTTGAAAGGTAACTGTGCCTGTGCATCGAAATGAGAGTGCCAGTGACCTTGCAAGGATAGAGAATAATTGATAAAACAACTTATAAATCGTGTGTTCTGATTGGTTTGGAGCAAATTAGCACACAGCACGCAGGCGCACTTTCAGTTGCGTTATAAAAGAAATATAAAACTTGCTTGCTGTGCTGTGCTGTATGGAGTTATAAAGCACTTGGGGATTGGCAGAACACTTGAGAAGTGTTGAGAAGCACTCAACTACACGTCGTGCATTTCCTAATACTTCTCTTGTCTTGTCTTGTCTTTATTTTCACACCTTGTACAATTATTTACATCTCTTTATCATTGCAACATCACTGCTGTCTTTGCTTGAATGAACAGCATTATTACCCTTCAAGAAGGCACAAGGAACTGTGACGGGGACTAGTTCCTTGTACTTGGAACCTAAGTTCTCCCTTCTACAGTTCCATGGAACAGATTTTTGATTGGGGGTGAGGTGTTAGGTTGGTGTTGGTGTTGAGGGGGGTGGATTAGGCATGGTCATGTTGTTACATGCATAAGGTAACTGCTACCACTACTACCTCCTCTATCATCCATGGTCATTGTCCACAATATCAATACAATATACAGTATAATACGTATATACACTAGCATTACTATATAATCAAACTAATATTAATCAGGACTACAACTAATTCAACAAACCAGCCTTCTCTTGTTGCCACAGCCAGTCATGATAGAGATTTAACTTGTGGTCTTTTGGCTGTACATCTTTCCACTCTCCAAGGCAGAAGATCCGATATGAGTCACTGCCATACTTTCCTATACCATACAGGGTGTCTGCATATCTCCAGTCCCTGGCCAGGAATTCATCAGAAAAACGAATCATTGTCTTGGCTCTTTTTTCGTTAAGTCCAAGTGGTTTCAACAGCTCTGAAATACGTTTTTAATGCAAAACACTTTGGTTAAAATAAACTTAAACACTGTAGGTGTAATATCCATTCTTCCATCTGTATATTGGTCTTCCTTTATAAAACTTCCTAGATAGGAATGAAACATTTTTCAACCTCTAGCTCTCTGGTGAAAGTACACGTATAATCTTTGCCATTTTAGGTGAATTCCCCAATATCCCTGTGTTCCTTGATTACAGTCTCATTTTTTTCCAGGCCTAGCCTCATTTCTGAATCACAACATTCACAAATATTAACTGTACATAAAGTAAAGAATGCACAACTTCAACAATACAGACACTCTGAAATTCCATAGATCTTCACAGAAAAACATGAATTATTTTGTGCAAAATTGAGGCTAACCCTGAAGCAACAGAGAACTAAAAGGAAGGGAAAAAAAAGAATAAACAAGAACATGGAAATGTTTGGTTTTAATTGATGTTATCAATAAAGTTTAAAGCCAAAAATTGATATTACACAACAGACATGAAGAGGATTTTAAAATTAAATAGCTGGCTGCCATGAGGCGCGAGCTGGATAGGTAACAGGTAACTGGCTATTTAAATTCATTTGTTTAAGCATCATATGTCTTACCTGCTATTGGTTTAGGATCTGTATTTCTTGTTGTTTCGGCAGTTGGATATCGCCTGAAAAACTCCCACATTATAGGAATTGCTTTTTCACCAGCTGTCCTGTTCAGAAATATAGAGGAAATCAAGAGCTTCCAAGGATCATGGAACAATGTTTCTTGAATCAGTTTGAAGGGTGATTTTGGAGGTGTCCATTTGTCACGTTTTTTTGTGCTATTTTTATCACCAATGATTGGTGGTGGTGGTGTTGACTCAGAGTCTGAAAAATATGGGCTGATCTGAGGTTGGTTTTTATTTTGAGCTTGATTTAGGGTATTTTTGTTGAATTTTCCAGCTTGTGTTGTAGCTCGTCTCTGCTCAATGTGTTCATCCATGTTTAGGCTTTCACTTTCTTGGTCACACGTGTGTTCTTCTAAAGCCTTTTCATCATCATTGTTGTTGTGAGCTGAATCAACTGAAAACAGAGTTCAATAATTACACCAATGTTGTTTGTGATTGGCTTTAAATAGAGCACTCAACACTCTATCATTTAAAGAATAAATTTAACGACATTGAAATGTTTCATGTAATTTGATTGGGCATCTCCAGGGAAAGTAATAACATAATTAAAAAACAAATGACCAATCAAATGAGACAGGAATTAGCTAAGTGGTTAAAAGGTAAGACAGCGTGGCATCTTTGCTTCATTGTTTACAAAAGACCATTGATTAATTTGAATATGAAAATTATTACAAAAAACTATGCAATAGTAACCAAATGAATATAACATAAATTAACTGACTTTGTTTGTCTAATTACATGTCTGGCTATATATATGTTTTTTTAAATAAAATTAAAATCAAAATTAAAATTAAAATTTTTGTTGAAATAGAAAACGTATTTGTGCAGGTTAAAAATTAGGCACATGCCCCAAACAATCAGAAAGTGAAATGTATGTTAATTTGAAATTTTACCTTTAAATCCAAAATGTAAATTCAAGTCAGTAATTCAAGTGTGCTTCTTTATGCCGTGCAATAGCCCACATCCAAGATATGCTACATTCACTTGTCACACATAAAGGTTTCAGTGTAAAGCAATGTACATAATGATCAGTGATTTGCGACAGGAGAAAAGAATTTTTTAAATTTAGCACGTAGCCTCATACTGAAACATTTGTGCATGAGCAACAAAGCCTCAACCATACTTTCTCGTTTAGGTGCCATGGCGCTTATTAACGTTTTTGGGTTTCATATAAACCGTTAATTTGGGGGCGGCATTAATTTGGGGGTGGCGTTAATTTGGGGGCAGCGTCAATTTGGGGGCAGCGTTAATTTGGGGGAATCGCTCATTCTGAGGTGGTGCTTATTTGGGGGCAGAACTTATTCAAGCGGCAGCATTTATTCGGAGGTGCTGCATATTCAGGGATCACGCACATTCAGGGGCATTGCTTATTCCAGGGCAACACTTAATCAGGGGCAGCACTATTCAGGGCCGGCACTTGTTTATGGATGCCACTCATTCGGGGATGCTGCTCATTCAGGTGGAGCTTATTTGGGGGCGGTGCTTATTTGGAGGTGGCACTTATTTTAGGGCAGCACTTTTTTGGGGGCAGTGCTTATTTGGGGGCAGCGCTAAGGGGTGGCGCTCATTCGAGGGCGGCGCTTATTAACAATTTTGGTCTTAGGTGCAGCTCTTAATAGCCCACTTCTGAGATATGCTTTGCTTGTCACACAGAAAGGTTTCAGTACGAGTCACAAATCAAGCCTCGCAATGAAACCTTTGTGTGTAACAAGTGACGCATATCTTGGAAGCAGACTGTATTTGAGGCAATACTTAAATGGGTAGAGTATCTTGGAAGTGCACTGTTAATGGAAGCTTTATATACATGCATACAGTTAACTGACCTATTACTGATGTGTAATTCTCTGTGCAATCCTGTTGTTCTATATCTCTGCCTTCCGAAGATCGCTTTTTTTTTGTTAACTGCCCAACCTCTTCTGTTTCATGAGATGTAGAGTAATGTTTTCGTTTTCGCTTTCGCTTTTCTTGTTTCTTCTCCCTCTCCAAAAACTTCTTCCCTTTGTTTCGAATCTTTGTCGCATTCCTCGTTTTTCCTGGTAAGAAATGCTTCTTCCCTTTATGCTCTCCAGCATCCTGCAGTGACGTTTTAGTTGGTGATCTATCATGTGATTGGTTGTCCAACATTTTTGTCAACTTATGAGAATAAGGTGATTTCATATCAAAGTCATTAACAGTTAGATTTGATTTACTTTTTGCAAGAAATACCTTGAGCTCTGGACGTGATCTAAGCATGGCTCCTTCAGGACTAAAAATATACACATCACATCTGCCTTTGAATTTTCCATTCTTTCTTTTGCGCAGTACTTTAGTCCAACCTTCTGGAACATTGCTTGTTTCGTCAATGCAAAGAGTTACTCCATCTATCTTTTTTTGCCAGTTTTTTCTGATGACTGGCTTAAACTCTGGCAATTCTTTCTTCGTTGCCTTTTTCATTCTCTTGGAAATTCTTTTGGCTGTACTTTTTACTTTGGTTTTGGCAGTTTCTCCATTAACGACCTTAACAACTTTTTTTTCATTCTTGATCTTTTTCCTCTCTTCCAGTTTTCCCTTATTAGAAGTTGGCACATTTTTCTTTTCTTTTTTCTTTTTGCTGTCAACTTCCACCGAGGGTTTTGCAAGTGTTTTTGATTCACAACTCTTTATCAAGGTTAAAACTTTCTTATTTGGTCCAGCCAGTGCCTGACTAGCCAATCTCTTTCTCGAACCAACCGGCAGAGGAGATGTCATGTCAAAATCGTTGATTGACAGACTGAAATTATTCTCTTCAAGAAAAGCTCTAAGCTCAGGACGTGAACGAAATTGGAATCCTTGAGGACTAATTATGTAAACATCAAATCTGCCTTTGTATACTCCATGCATTCTCTTGCGTAAGACTTTGTTCCATCCGGGCGGCGTCCCCGTCTTAGCAACTACACGTGTCACCCCATCAATCTCTTTTTGCCAATCTCTTTTGACAACAAACTTACAGGAAACTTTGCTGTTCTTGGAATAAAAGAGACCTGTGTCAAGTCTACTGGATGCACGAGTCTTTCGACCAGACTTACGAATGTTATTTGTACCGTTAACGCTACCATTGTTTAGAGTAGGCGTTTCTGTCGTTAGTGTTTGTCCACGAGTAGAGAGCTTGTTTATCTTTTCTGAACCAGCTGCAGAATCTTCAACTGGTTCGTTTACTGATTTCTTTTTCTTCTTAGATTTAGTATCCTCGCTATCTTCATTAATCACCTGTGAAGTTTTACTAAAATCAAAGTCCTCTATTTTAAGAGACGTACCCGCATTTTCCAAGTGTCGTCTGAGCTCTTTCTGGGAGCGAAATCTTCGTCCATTCGGGTCAACGACATACACATCTTTGAGACCTTTCGTCTTTCCACTTTTTCTTTCGATAACGATCTTTTTCCAACCAAGGGGAAGATCGATGGGCTTTTGGGGGATTTTCATGGTCAAGAAAAACGATAAAAAAACACAAAATTCGATCGACAAATGTTAAAACATCTAGATGCCACCCCTGGATGGCGCGGGAAAACGAAGACAAAAAAGCTCCCTAGGGAGAGAGGGGATAATCGTTGGCATGAATTATAAAAATCAAAAATAACACTGAATTTAATTCATTTTGTAATTTAAAACTCGAAAATAAATTCAAATTTGCTTTTTTCATGAAAAAATTTTTTTTATTAATATTCACAAATAAGATTAGATTTTCCCTACCCCTCCCCTGGAATGAGAAAAATATCTTTTCTGGGCCCTTGCTACTGTTGTGTCAGCGGTGTTCAAATGAGAACTCAAAATGGCGCTCAACTTGTAAACTTTTTTCCTGAAAGTATTATGATAATTTGTCTTGTTTTGGTCCTATCTCGGCAGTAATATTCATAAATAGCAATTGGAACTTATTGAGAAAGTGTTTGCAATCCATGTGTTTTATTCTTAAGCTGGTTTTAATGTAGTTTTGTTGCAGTTTATTTATTTATTTATTTTGTTGAATATTCAAGATGAGTGAGTTTCGTATTCATCATCACGTCTCTCAGCTTCTCTCTCTCCTCGGGTAAGTTATCTTYATATCTATTAAACTATCTTCTAGTTAAGTATTTAACCCCATATAAACAATTATTGCTTCATAACATATTTGTATCCATATTTATAAGGGCGTTATACAATTATTTTAGAATTAGTTGTTGGAACTGCAATTCAGTGGAACTGCAAAATTCAATGGAACTTGCCTGCAAAGACTTCTGCCCAATATAATTACAGTAATTGTATAGCTACCTATTAATTTATCTCATATAGGTAACTGTCCAATTATTTTCCTMATTGGAATCGAAAGCTCTTGAAAATTAAAGAACAATAGCAGAATATGAATTATAATAGATAGCCACTGTATATAATTGATACTGTATGCAATGAAAATTCCTGACTTCAAAATGTACTACACCAACGATGTGGTGGACATCTTCAATGGACTACTTCAATGATTTGGTGGCCATCTTGAATCGCAAGGCATTATGGGTCACCCAGGGAGCAAAACAAAAGAAAGATGCTGAAACTACGACTCTACGATATTTGAGAAATTTCCTCAGTTGTGGAACTCTTCATGTATTTTAATTCATTTAATGTCAAATTGTTATAAACCTTAAAAGTTAATCRATGCCAGTCATTGTTAATGTTAATGATATTGTATATTTTTATTTATTGTTTTTGACTTTAGGACACTTATGTAAGAGCATTGAGTTCTAATAATACTCAGGAACTATTATAATTATTTATTATTATTATTGTTACAAAGCTTTAATTATTTGCCTACTGGACAACCCAAAATGCCTTGTGATTCAAGATGGCCACCAAATCATTGAAGTAGTCCATTGAACTTGGTCTACGGCCTTGTCCAATGACAAAAACTGACAAGAGATTCATCTCTTACAATGAAATTTTCTCTTCCTGCTTTCTTTATAAATTTATTTTATATTTTATGATTTCATTCATATTTTCCAATTTATACAAATATAAACTATAATAATGGTGATGTTATGATAATCCAATTCTGGCCAGACATTGTCCAATGATGGGCCATTATTAGTYCGGTTTAGTAATGTCTGAAGTAGGAGGTTCTGTTGACAAAATAGGTAGCTATGTCTGCACTAGATTTATATTAATGATTTTTCCTTTGATCATGAAATACAAGTAGTGAATGGTGATTGACTGCCGGTAGTCCTATTGAAACCTCTGAGTGTGCCATGATTTTCACAGGYATTAAGAATTCTTAACGTTTTGCATTGATATTTATTTTTCCTTGATTACAATAAGTGCCACTGGTAGTGATGGGCCTGAGGTTTACACAGAAATGCTGACCAAGAACATGACTCCATATGTAACAACCCAGGTATGCACTACATGTACATATATATATGTCAGGGTTCATGCTACTCCTTACACTCCTTAAAAACTCCTTTCAAGTTCTCTTGTTCAGGGTTAGCCTTGACTTTGTGCAGATTATTTATGTGTTCCAGTGAAGTTGTGTGGAATTTCAAAGTGTTTGTATTGTTGAAGTTATGCATTCTTTACTTTACCATTGGTGAACATTTAGACATTGATTTGAGGCTAAGCCTGAGTAATAGACCTCTTCCGCTCTGACGTAATGTTTTAMCATTTCAGACCACATGTTATTCCCTAGAGTATCATTTCTTTGTTTAAGGTTTGCGCTCGGTTGCACATGAGAAAGCACATGAATATGGATACAGCTCAAACAAAGAATCTTATTCTCAAGGGAATGACACGTGGTCTGAAATGAGAAAACATTATGCCCAAGCTGAAGAGGTCTATTGAGTCTGTAATCAATGAAGACAGCGGTAATTTGGAACTCGAAAAATGGTCCTTAGGCATTGCCTATGAAAATATTGAGAATAAAAAATAAACAGATATGGTAAAAATGTTGCTGCTCATGAATAAGTGAATGTTGTTTCTTTTACGGTCATCAGGTGTCAGCTCATACATCMAAGAGCAAGATAGCAGAATCATCCAATACACCAAGAGAATTCCTAAAGAAATATGATGAATTAAAATCTAAAAAGTATGTGACTGCATAGTTTATTGTGCTGTTAGATGACACAGTATACAGACATAGGGCAAAGCTAGGTCATAACAACAGGGTTTTCTTTTGAGGAAACCAGGGTTCACTTCCCACTAATCTTCAGCCAATTACTAGCAACAGGCAAGAACAATGAGTAGGTAACCAAGGGCATTCAGAAAGTTTTGGAGTAGGTGGTCATGAGTAGCTGGCTGTGATCTGATATAAGAAACAGAAGGTATTTTATAGAAAAGAAAAAGTAGCTGGTGGTTAACTTCGAAGCATTTGCCAGAGCTCTGCCAGGTGCCAGCTTATTCTGAAAGCTCTGTAACCATGGATACCTTGCCACTGGTCAACCCTCAGCACCTGTTACAGTRATTACTCAGTGCAAAACTTAATATATTTACTTCTTTATCCCCTTTATGTTTGGGAGGATGGGRGCAACATCACAAAATCCTTTACAGCAAAACTAGTAATGTGCTATGGCTAAGCAAGCAATAGCACTGGCAGAGCAAAGCATGCAACTGAGCCGCTGCATGTTAAAGGCGCATGTGCAATGATGGCTTTTGAGGTTCTGCTGACCTGGTTATCTCCCAGTTAATTTTGCTTACTAATAAGGAAACCGCATTTATTATGTAATATTAATTAATGCTAACTTGTACATTTATTATGTATTATAAAATATTTGTTCTAAATTTCGCATTCTGATTGGTTGGGAGCGCATGCTTTATGAGAGCACACAACATGCGTGCGCACTTTCAGTTTCRTYAATTCATGTAATTTGTATTTTATAAAAGAAATAATAAACTTGCTGTGTGTGCTGTGTGAAGTCATAAAGCACTTGGGGATTGGCATGACACTTGAGAAGTGTTGAGAAGCACTCTGCTACGTGTCCTGCTTCTTCCCCGCGTGCTTTATAACAGCACACAGCACACATGCGCATTTTCTATTTCTTTAATATTGATTAATGCTAATTTGTACATTTATCATCTAATATTAATTTACTCTTGTTTAATTTTCCAGTATCCGTGAGTTGGATCCATTAGTTTATCTTCTATCAAAGGTGGTAGATGACAGACAGGTCAGTATACAGCATCCTTAGTATAATCATATGTATCAGAGACTGTGAAGACATGAGAAGGTTTCTTTAAAAACTCCCATACCTGCTTAAAGGTCATTTTTAACTTTGCAATTTTCTCAGCAACTTGTCTCACAATGCTTGAAAATGTAGTTGGCCAAAGTGAAGTGTTACACTGCAATGCCATCTCAGCAACTTGCAATGTTTTTTTGGCTCCTCGGAAAGAAATAAAAATGTACACATGTGTTGCCAGTTGGTGCAATCCATTGCAAAAAGTTGAACTGGGTCCTACTTTTGCAAYGCTATGCACAACAACAAAATTGCAATACAACCCCTATAAGTTATACTGTGCAATTCTCCAGCAAACCAAAACAAGTTGCTGGAGAATTGTACAGTGTACCAGGTATTGTATTATATTTATATTTATATGTAAATGTCAGCAAAGAAGAAGTTATGCTGAAGAAACCTGCAGGCTGGGTGTGTTTAGGAAAATTTCATAGCGTGATGACTGTTTGCTGCATTGCCCATAGTGCATTACAGACTTGGTATACAGCATGCTGCATGCAACAAAAACATCACCAATCTTTTTTGAAATAGCTGTACATGCTTAATATTTTAAAATTAATCAAATATATAGTTAATTGAAGACTTCTTTTCTATTCAAACAGATGGTATCCTTTTTGGAAAGGAACAATAAGGCACGCACCCGTGCTAGACTAGCAGCATTGAAGAGTGGAGGAAAGGCCAGTGTACAAGGCATTCAAGATGCTATCCCAGCATCAGGAACCATGTCGCAACAGGAGTTGAATGAGGTAATTTATTTAATAAAAGCAAAAACTTTGTTTTCACTTTTCAGATAGTGTTTTTTCCATTTTTGACTGTGTGTCATTCCAACAACAACAACAACAACAACAAGATTTTATTACCTAAAGAAATTCAATAGATTAATTACATTGAGTGATTTTAAACTGATAGTATAGGTAATAGATACTCAGAAATAGCAGAGCTAATCTAGCTGAGTACCTATGCATGTTTGGCCATAATTTACAGTACAAGGTAGTGTATTATAGATAATAGAAAAATAAATAAATAATACAAAGATACAAAACAAAGGTACCACTTTTATAAATCACTTGAACACATATCTTAATAACTATGACAGACTACAAAGTGTTATTATTRAGATTTGCGTATAAAATAGTTTGAGAATAAATTTAATATAATAATATGTTATTGATTATAAGGCTGTATGAGACTAGCTTTGAGGTGGGTCTTAAACTGCTTGATTGATAAATATTTTAGATTTTCATCTAAATCATTCCATAGTGTAGCCCCGACATAGCGTATGTTAAATTTACCATAATTGGTTCTGACTTTATTAATACAAAAAGAAGATCTCGAGGCTAATCTCGTATTATAGGYGTGTCTTGAAGAAACAGATTGAAAGTAATCATCAAAGGCTACTGGTAACAGATTATGTTTAAATTGGTACATAAAAATAGCATTATGAAGATATATTAGATCAGGAAACTTAACTAATTGGAACTGATGAAAAAGAGGAGAAGAATGTTGATCATATTTGGAAAAAGACATTATGCGTAATGCTTTTTTTGGTAATATTGTGATTGGTTTAGTTGTAGACGGGTAAGTGTTACCCCAAACTATTAAACAATAGGTCAAAAAAGGATAGATAAGGGAGTAATACAATTGAATCAAGATACTAGGATTAACATAATGTCTTAGTTTAGATAGGATGCCAATACCTCTTGATATCTTTTTACTTATTTCATGCACATGCATTTTCCAACTTAAGTGAGTATCAAAAATTAAACACAAATGTTTAACAGATTGATCATGTTTTATAGAGGTATTTGCTATTTTAAGGCTAATAGTATAATTAATATTTTTTTGATAAGAGTGAAATAATACAAGGCTGGTTTTTTCTATATTTAAAGATAATCATTCCCTAGAGTATTTTTRTTTAATGGTTGCACATGAGGAGACGGTAACATGACTATGAATAATGCCATGGCCATTGGATACAACTGAAACATAGACTCTAGTTCCCAAGTGAATAAATTGTGGTATGAAATGGGGAAACTTGYCCTAGCTAAAAGCTATACAGTACTTGTTAAATTCTATTGACAATTAATATAAATCAGTGGTTAACATAGAGATTTTCWCATGTTAAGAGCTTGATATTGTTTTTATTCACAAGTTTCCATATAATATCGRGAACGAGCAAGTCTGTGTGGGAGTGAGCGATGTTATATGCAAAATGAGTGAAATAAAAAAATATCAGGCTCTTAATATGTAATCATTTCTTTATTACACAATTAGGGTCATTAAAATCACAAAATTTATAATTTCCAGTTCACTGTCACTGATATGGTTTTTATTCATGGCTTTATCACGCGGATATCGACCCTAAATGTGTTATAATAATTGTTTTTACCTAACATTTATTTTTGTCTTGTTCAGTTACGCAGCCAGCTTGCTACTGCAAGTAATGTCAACATGGCAGGAATAACTCCAGAAGAAAAGCTCAAATTGTTGAGAGAAAAACAATCCAAGAGAACAGGTACTGTATGCATGAAAGACAAATATACTATTAGGATGCATGCCATATATGTATCTTTGAAATAACTACAACTAGCTATGTAGTGCTTAAACTATCAACTATGTAGTTGTCAACTAAAAATTAACTTACTACTTCACATGTTGGCATTTGCATTAATTCCCAATGTTTTGCTCAAGTGTTATCCACTATTTAAATAGTGCAATTTAACAAAATAGACATCAGTTTTTTGTGTCTGTCCTCTTATTGATGATAAATTGCGTCATCACATTGTCAGAGTAGTGTGGATCCGCATGCTACTTTGACAATATGATGACAAAATTTATTGTCAATAAGAGGACAGACACAAAAAACTGATGTCTTTTTGTGTTTTATGATAACAAAARTGATAAAAACTTCTAATTTTTGGTGATCAAAAYGATCAACAGAAAGAGCGYGCACTCGTTGACGTCAGCTTTATCTGTCTGTCCTCTTATTGATGATAAAAAATAACCAATCAGCACACGAGAAATTTGTAAGTTATTTTAAAAATTAGCATCTTAACGTGCAATCAACATGACATGCAGTAGTAAAGTCTTTTCTCAGTTTTCACACATAATTATACATGTAAAATAAATAACTTGAGCTTTGAAATTATTAAAGGACGTATGAATAACTTTATCTTTAAAATTATATCTTATGGAGGACCCTCCTTAAAATCACTTACACGTTAGGTGATGGAGGCCTCTTAAAAGATTTGTTATCGTCATCATCATCATTGTCATCATCGTCATCATCATCACCATGACTATTATTATTATCTTCACGTTTTGGCTGTACTAGTCGCTGCCTTCAAGAGATTGCTCTATGAATGATATTTGAAGGTGTGAGATAAAATCAATATAGATGAGGTGCAGTCTTGCTGTTCTCATGGATAGCAAGATTACATTTGACAACAAAATGTAATTTTTTTCAATTACAGGAAATATCCCAGGAGCTCCTTCCTGGGTTGTAGAGAGACCTTACTTGAGCAGAGATTATGTCCCACRATCTGAACAAAGCTACAAGAAACCAGTGAGTTGACTACATAATGTAATACACATGTCAATCAACACTTTGGCCTGTCGTTTCTTGGTCAACCTACACTGTATTGCACATTTAAGTCAATAGGAAATACAATATGGAGTTTTTCTTTAGGGCTCCATTGGAACTTTGCCCATGCCGTTACAAGAACTAGCAGCTGTTGAAGACTTACTTTTTCTTTTGATGGTAAGCACTCCTATACACACAGACACTTGTATGTTCTTACTGGTAGCGTGATGTAGATTTCTGATAATGGTTTTACACAAATGTAAGATTTATTTCAAGAAATCCTGCTTGKACCAGCATATACTTCATTGTTGTAAAGTTGGGTTTGGCTCTYGTGTTAGACTGAATTAATGACTGACTTTCTTTTTTTTCCTCAGGGTGTSGAAGGGAAGTACATCTGGGTCAAACCACTCAAGGACAAGTACAGTCTAAGAACATTTACTGTTGATAGGACTCTTGGTAATTTATACTCATTTTGAAAAGTTTTACCCTGTCACTTTTCTCTCTCTCTCTTTCTCTTTCCCTTTCTCTTCCCTTCTCTAATTTTTTGCACTATGAACAATAATTATTTGAATTTCACTCAATGTTTTTGCATTTTGYAAAGATATGTACATTGTTGAATGGTCCAAAATCATGATTTTTTGTAGGTACAGTGTCTCTAAATATCTATCCATTACTGTACATTGAYATTTGTTACAGATGTTTCTATCAATGAGTTGGTACAGAGGATTCTCCCAGTCTGTTCATACTATTCAACTGTCTGTAGGTTTATTGAAGGTAAGTAGAATGGAATATAGGACTTCATAGATTTATATTTATTTKTTATTTTTTTAAACTAATTTTTGCACTCTGTGATGTGAATAAATTCCAGGTGACCTACCTTTAATTCTCTTATAGTTTTAGTTTAATTTTATTTATTAATTTTTTTTGCAGAAAAATCTTCATTTGAGCATGGTCTTGTTAACCATGCTCTGTGTGCAGCCATGAGGACACTTCTCAAGGTAGTGACTAAACCTAATATAGTCTGAAATGAACAAGATGATTATTGTCCATATCATAATCTTGTTCTGCGCAGTAATGTTTTTGTATTGTGTACATATTCTACTCGGCTATTAATATGTGATAAAACAGGGAAGTATCTTATTCAATTYCAGGAGTACTATGTCTTGGTGGCACAATTAGAGCATCAATTCAGACTAGTAAGTATATTTCTGTGTACAGTTAGGTCAATGCTTAGCGTGYGTATGTCCAGTTCTGCATGCACACGGGAGGTTGCTAAGCACGAAAGAAGCGYAAGAGTAACTCTAGCTTCTTGAGTGCTTAAGCAACCTCCCAAGTGCATCCCTAACTGGATAYATGCACAAGTAAACATTGACCATTGCTTTTATAACATAGTAAAACTGTAAAAAATATTTGTTTATAAAAAAAAATTCAAATTTTCTTGTAACAGAATCTTCATTTTGTAGCGCGCGCTACTCAATCATGTCAACGTGCACCATTCATTTCTGGGTTATTGTATCGTCGTGTACGGGAATTGTCAGGGGAATTCTATTCAAATTCAAATTTCGAGTAATCGGCTAGTAGTCGTACCCTACGATAGCATAAATTAAACTATAATAAATATTTATGTGCACGCGCTGATGATACATCGTTTAAATATGACTAAAAAATGAGACCACCCAACCGAATTCGCTTCGTGGTCTAGGGGTTAGGTTTAGGGTTAGGGTTGGGGTTGRCATTGTAGTAGTTCTTTGGTGCCGAMGGTACCGAGTTCGATTCTTGGTGTCTTCACTGAATTTTTTTTCTAAGTGAGGAGAAGCAAAATTTCTAAGTCAYACTTGTGTGTTCGGAAACCTATGACGTACTTCRTTAATCTGTACACGACGAYAGTACCCATTTATGGGTGTATACTCACACATGCCAACCAGAAATCTATTGAACAACCCAATAAAAYGAAGTGACAAAACCCATATTGTTAAAATGGTTGATTTACAGTATGTCTACCTATAGTTCTGTAGCATATGGTTGATGACAGGATGTTGTTATCATTATTTTGCTTTTAGGGTCAGTTATCACTCCAGAAATTTTGGTTTTACATCCAGCCTTGTATAAGAACCTTGGAAATMCTGGCATCTATTGCTGCCAGTGTTGATAAGGTAAGTGTCTTACTGTTATAATATATGATTGGCTAATATACCTGAAGCTTGCAGTGTCCAACACCRGCAGATCAATCAACCATGGTTGACCAATCAACTGGCAATAAGCTGGGGAGGGGTTGACCTTTGATTGACTAAAATACAGGGAAAGGTCRTTGTTTGAGTCCCAGCYRGACCTACAATTAAGGTCTTAAACTAATTGAGAAGGTGCTGCCTTTGGGATGGGTATGGGGATTTTAAGGGGTTGGAAATTGGTGCTTATGTACCTAGAGGGGACAGTGTGTCCTACTGTGCAGCACCAGTCAGACTGCGGGCAAAATCTAAAACAAATAAATAAATCTAATGAAAGAATAYGTACCTTTTTTTCCTTCAGGGTAATTGCAAAGGTGGATCTGTGTTGACTCTCTTACATGAAAAGACAGTGTCTTTGATTGGGTAATTATGCCATAATATTCCAGTAATAACTAAACTTGCTAGACAATAAAACTATAAACAATGGTCTCGATCCTAGAATTCGTGTGTTCTGATTGGCTGYGTGAGCGACTGGTATTTTCTCTGCCCATGGTCCGGTATCCTGACTTAAAGCTTACATCATTCAAGTGCATACATGGGGACATCCATGGGAGGATTGCAAAGCAAAAAGTGCTGCAGTAATAACATTTAATACAGTACMAACATTATAACTTTTTTTTTGTTTTTTGTTACTTAGTGATGCCAAGGCACAAGATCTTTGTTTGTTCCTTACTCAAGCTGTAAGTAATTTCTTTTCAGCACTAGCCGTTACAGGGTATAAATTGTTTTAGATTGTGTTACGGTCACCAAAACGTTCGGACATTGTTCTCGAATTTCCGTACAAATGTACTGACTCTAAATGAACTATTTACTTAGTTAATGTTKAGTTAGTTCTCTAAATACAAGTAAATGATCATTTTTCTAGCTCGRTTGAAGCTTTTCTTACTGCTGTTAAGAGAGCTACAGTAATTAAAGAAATCTAACTAAATTTTCTCTTTAAAGTCAGTGAATTTGTATGGGAATCTGAGAACAATGTCCAAACTTTTTGGTGACCATAACACAATCCAAGCTAGCGCCAAAAAAGTGAATTGATCAACAGAAATCTGCTTTGTGGATATTTCCTTTAAGAAAGTGAGAAGAGATAGCTGTGGTGCTTAATTATAATGCAATGAAACATGCTGCAAGATACAAATACTGTAAAATACTCTGAGCATTTTACATTTGTAAAGTTCAGTTCCTCAGGCATGTTTGAATGTCAAATAAATACATATTTTTACAATGTCATGAAAATGTTTTGACTAAGTTGYATACGAACTTAGAGCATGTGCAGACGTTTTTCACCTTAAAAACATGAGTTTGGTGGTACAGTTCCTGCAAAATCCACATCAATCCCTTCAACATATTTTAAAAGTTATCTAAAAAAAACTATTTAGTCACAAAGAACATTTCTGTTATTCCACCAGCAAAAAGAGAAAATCTGAATTTTTAAGAAGGAGGCRTTTCCCTTAGTTGTCTCCAAACCTTTGCTTGCACGTTGTATAACTTGTATTGATGTTTCTCCTAAAGTGTTTCCTTGTTCTCATATAGGCTTGTGTTCCATACTTTGATACACTGGAGCAGTGGATATACAAGGGTATAATCAATGATCCCTACTCTGAGGTATTACAGTTTTATAATAATATAATATTAAGAATACTTGAATATAATGTTTTACATCCATGGCCTTTAGAGGTACTCTTCCACATTCAATATTTACAACTTCACAACAGTCAACTCACTCGTTAATTCCAATGAAGGGAGAATAGCTGGATCATCATCATTGGTCAACTCCCATCAAGATTAGAAACACTATTTTAAGCCATTAAGTCTTGTTCATTGCGTACTTTAGTTCCTCTGTTTGGTAGCCAGTCATTGAGTCTTGTTCACCATTTCACACCCAAGTTAATCAAATATTAAGCCTGTGTCCCTAATTATAGTGTCTGGGTTTAAGTGAGGGGTCTAGTTTCCCTGTTTGGACATCGGAGTCTCCATGGATGAAGTTGGTCTGAATATTACCCAGAAAAAGCCCTTTAGAAGTGAGAGAATAGTTGAACAAACTCTATCCTGCTGATATGGTGTCTGCTTTTGTCTGTTTACAGTTTCTCGTAGCAGAACATGGTTCTGTCCAGAAAGAAAAGCTAACAGAAGACTATAATGATGCATATCCTTAAATTACTATGTATTTAAATTACTGTGTAAAGTTGAACAAAATAACAGTTAATCTGCAATCTAAAACATTCCAAATGGCTCTTTCAGTGGTCAGACTCCAGTATTTCAGACCATAACTAGACAATTTGTGTATCATATCAAGTTGTTTTCTTCCAGTATGAATAATGATTTTGCCATTGTTGAGTATCGCCATTAATTTTCAGACATACAGCAACTGCAACTGTGTGTTACATCATCACACTCGATGTTGCAGAAGCTGAATAGACATCTACTTTTGTAGCAATGCAAGTAGAAGACATCATCACACTCAATGTTGCAGAAGCTCAATAGACATCTACTTCTTTAGCAATGCAAGTAGAAGATTTCAATGTCATTAAACATGATTTACAAAGCCAGAGCCTTGGAATGATGTGTGCTCTCTGCCAATGAAATGCAGCTTTTCCAAGAAGCAATGAATAAAATTGTATTGAGCTTTTTTTCATGTTTTTACTTTTATGATTTTTTCTACTATCCTTAACTATGCTCACTTACTGGGAGCAGCGTTACACTGTTGTCAGGGAGAACATCCCAATATTTTTGGAAAAGGTACAGTAAAATAAAAATTTAAATCAGGAATATAGTAACACATGGTATTGTATTCAAACAGTTACATTTGAAATATTGATAATGATTCCAAATGAACTCTACTGTTTCATTGTCATGTACAAACATCCTAAATAATATTAAACATATACTAATCTATTATATTATTTATTATTATTAATTTATCATTTCTATATATATTATAACAAATTATAAAATATAATTATAAAATATAATTTGCATCAAGACAGCATAAATTAGAGAGGGAAAGTTCTTAATACCACTCGCATTATGTAAATTCCCGTTTGGGCTATTTTTAGTAACCGGATGCAGTTTAAACTTTGCCTTACCCTACTCCCATCCGTCATCAACTTGCATGCATGCACTCTTTCCGTTTAGTGTTTTGATCACTAAAAATGAAACAGAAAGAGCACGCGCTYGCAAGTTGATGACGCACAGGAGTAGGGTAAGGTGAAATTGGGACTGCATTCAGTTACTAAAAATAGCCTCTTATTTATACCCTCTCGTTTGCATGAAATGATGGCAAATTTAAACAACTCTACTGTTTCATGTTCGTGCACACACATCCTAAATTATTCCATTTATTCTTTCAATATTTATCTTTTAGGTTGCTGAGAACATTCTTAGAACAGGAAAATACTTGAACGTAATCAGACAATGTGGTAAGGAATTAACACTTATAGCTGTAGCATTAGTTTACTCGCCCAGGTTCACCTCTGGGGTCTTGTATTCCATTCCTGGACTCAGTATCACAGGTGACTAGAGTTAATTATTAGGTGTCTCTATTGATTTAAGAGTTTTTTTTCTGTATTCTCTGGTTTTCCTCTCTCCATAAGACATAACACCCTAAATTCCAATTCCATCTGTTAGTTTGCCCTGCCCAAACTTTGATCAACCCAGAGGTTGTTTCAGGGTTTGATCTGTGAGTTAGCTATGCCATGACTTTGATTAACACAGAGGTTGTTTCAGGGTAGCATCTGTGAGTTAACCATGCCCTGACTAAGATCAGCCCTGCGGTTGTTGAAGGGTTCCATCTGTGAGTTAGCCGTACCCGTGCCAAAAACCATTTTTCACTCGCATAACTTCTGCTCTATTCTGATTCCTGAAAGGTCGTGATGTTCGCTGTCCAGATGCTGAAGAAATCATCTACACCTTAAGAGAACGTGAATATGTTGATAAAATAGAAAAGTCGTACAACTATGCCAGCAAGACGTTATTGAGGGTACTGATGGATGAGAAGGAACTCATGGCCAGGCTAAGGTACAAGACTAAAATCTTCAAGAAAATATAAAACAATTCCCATTTCAAAACAGTTTTTATATAAGGAATCAATTCACACTTCTTCTTTCCCTTCATCTTTTTTAATTTCTTTTCTTTTCTTTTCTTTCTCCTTTCCTTACTTTGTATCCTTATTCTTTCCTTCCTTTCTTCCTCTCTTTCTTTTTAATGATTTTTCCATTGTTTTCCTTCCTATGTAATCATCAACCTGTAGGTTGAGTGTTGTGTGCGTATAACATTGTAAGGGTAGTGTGAGTGAAAGTGTCCCCAATTAGTGCGAAAGTGCTAGAATAGCTAGGCACTTATTAAATAAAGAGATTTCTTGTTTTCCTTTTCAGTTCCATAAAGCATTATTTCCTAATGGATCTTGGTGATTTCTTTGTACAATTCATGGACTTGGCTGAGGATGAAATGAGGAAGAATATGGATGGTATCCCACACTCTATAAACCCATTTATTCATCCAATCTACGGGTGAAATCCCTGGCCACCTCAAACTTCACTGATCCAACACTTTTCTCTAAGTTGTGTGTCTTGTTTTCTTTGGACATGTTTTCATAAGGGAAAGGTTGTCCTACTGAAAGAGTATTTTGTTTTCTAGCTGCAGGGTCAACTTGCCTTGATGTACCGAGGACCTTAATGCATTAATGTTCAGAGAAATGGGGTGGAGGACTTCGGCATTGGAGGATTGAAGAAGGGGGGACGCAGAAAAGCCTTTAGAGAAACTATGTCTAACCTTAATCAAAAGTGTCAATGCGGCCCCTGGGACCCAGCCCTAAATCCGCCCATGACCGTAGTCGTACTGTATGTCATTCTTAACTGTTTTGTAAGATATTGTGCCGTCTCGATTGGAAACCCTCTTGGAACTGGCCCTTCGTACCAGTACAGCTAACAGTGATCCATTCAAAGATGATTTAAGGTATACTCGAGTTATTAGAACGATCACTATATGAGCCGTTCCAAGGTTGAGGAAAACCGCTGGGTCAAGTTGGCATTGTGGTGCATTCTGGGGCTGTTTTAGGGGACTTATTTCCAAGATGGCGTCTGTTTTGTCATCTAAAAGATATGCATAATAAAACCGTCCTTTTTTCACGAGGGTAGAACTTAATAGCCAGTGGCTAACAAACCTGTAGCCCTCATTCCATGATCGAATTGGAATTTAGGAGTTGATTTTTGTGGAGGGAGGAAAACCGGAGAACCCGGAAAACCCTCGAAGCACAGGAAAGAACCAACAAACAACTCTACTCATATACAACACCAAACCCGGCAGGACTCGAACTCGGGTCGCATTGATGAAAGGCGAGCGCTCACACCGCTACACCACCCGTGCTTCCCATAATGCACTGTAATGCAAGCTCGACCCAGTTTTTTCCTCAATCTCGAAATGGCTAACACATGAGTGCATCGTTAGTAAACCTCTGTATCTAGTGGACTGTTACAAATCCTGAATTCTGATTGGTTATTCTGCTATGTGATGCTAGAGATATCCTATACCCAATGAGATTATTTACGATTACAGCTCTTATGTGCTTAGCTGATAATTATGGCCGGATGCCAATMAAAATTCTCAAATTATATCGCTTGATCTTTTGCTTAGCAACCCTTTTCATGTCTTGTCGACAGTAAGAGAGCGCAAACTTTATAGGCATGTCTAGGGAAAGATTCATGAACCCCACTTCCCCCATTACCAACAGCTTCATTGCTAAACTGTAAGTCTATGTCTTCCACAGGACAGAGCTACTCCCATATGATCTCATCACACAGCTGTTTCGTATACTATCAGTAGCCTACGATAGCCGAGGTAAGGTCTGTTTATATTACATCTGGCAACAACCATGATTTGTTGGTTATTTCCTGAACTTCAAGGGTTTCTTTCTCTGTACCTGCTTCTTTCTCTTTCCCTTTCTCTGAAACTATTATGCAGCTACCTTGGCGGTTTAATGAATTTGATAGATTCGTTCACTCTCTCTTTCTCTCTTTTTTTCCCCCCTTCTTTTCCTTTCCTTTCCTTTCCTTTCCTTTCCTTTCCTTTCCTTTCCTTT